GCTTAATCCACCCGCATTCCATTGAGTTATGGTACTTCTGCTGGGAATCAAACTCAACAACCACCGCTTCAAAAGCTAGAATGTTATCCGCTTGTCTACTTATGTGCACATCCTGGTTTAAACTGCTAGCCAGCACATAGTAACTTACACCCTAATTAATATTGAGCCATTATTCAGGCATCCACATAGGAGCCAACTCACCACTTTTATTTCACTGTAATCGATAAAACAAAAGAGAGTAGAGATAAATGTATATCTGTGCACTGAACAGAACTACAATTCTTTTTTATCCAAATAAATTCATCTATACTTATCAATAAGTATATTTTAGTTTTTAAGAATGTGCTTTTCTAATTAAGCAGTTTGTAATTATATTTATTGTTTGTTATTGCTATTCATTCATATGGGAAGTTTGTGATGAATGTCCTCGTTTCAGGCTTGTATTTAGAACAGATCTGCATTCCATTTAGAATCATTCAAAGTTTAAAGGTAATAGAAATAAACGAGCGGCTTCCAGTCCAGTCTCAAACACTTAGTGTTTCTCAATGGTTTTTCGCTGATTTTGACCCATGATGGAAACCTATTGAGATAAGTGGATATTATTTGTCGTATATAAGTAAAGTCTATAGATGACTAAAATCCATTCTCATACATATATCTATTCCAAGTTGTTATTCATCGAAGACTGACATCAGTTGGAGGAACAAAGGAAACCTGGGAGCACTGGACAGCTGTCTCGTCCTAGTATGGGACTCCTCAGCAGTGCGCACCCACGACCCCACCAGCAGGGATCGAACCCGTGACCTTCAGGTTCCGCGACCAGCGCGTTACCATTGAGCCACTGGGTCGGAATCCAATGCTCCATATTTCCAACTTCTGTTAGCTCACGATATAGCGCAAACCGCCACCCAATGTCATCGTTGAGTATTTGTCCTCACGGCCATCAGGCTTGACTCCACCGGTCACGACTTGTCATTGGAACTTCGGGAATACTTCTCGAAGCTGGTCACCAACGAGCACTAGTTCAATTAAATTTTGAGGGGACGAAACAGGGACGAAACAGCTGTCCAGTGCTCCCAGGTTTCCTTTGTTCCTCCAACTGATGTCAGTCTTCGATGAATAACAACTTGAAATATTTCCAAATCTCCACAACCCCCTCAAAATTTAATTGAACTAGTGCTCGTTGGTGACCAGCTTCGAGAAGTATTCCCGAAGTTCCAATGACAAGTCGTGACCGGTGGAGTCAAGCCTGATGGCCGTGAGGACAAATACTCAACGATGACATTGGGTGGCGGTTTGCGCTATATCGTGAGCTAACAGAAGTTGGAAATATGGAGCATTGGATTCCGACCCAGTGGCTCAATGGTAACGCGCTGGTCGCGGAACCTGAAGGTCACGGGTTCGATCCCTGCTGGTGGGGTCGTGGGTGCGCACTGCTGAGGAGTCCCATACTAGGACGAGACAGCTGTCCAGTGCTCCCAGGTTTCCTTTGTTCCTCCAACTGATGTCAGTCTTCGATGAATAACAACTTGAAATATTTCCAAATCTCCACAACCCCCTCAAAATTTAATATATCTATTCGTTGACTTAGTGTTAATTGGAATGTAGCTGTATAATGGAGGGGGTACAAGTCACCTTTTATACTTGAATGAATAAGTAAGAAAACAGATAAGGCAGATTTCCTTCAATCTAATTTCTTAAAGTGGATAATTGTTAAACTAGATTAGTTTGTCTGCACAAATCCAACCATGACCAGTTACTCGTGTACTGGTTGATAACACGGTCATACCATCTGGTGAATACACAACGTTTAAAACTAACACTTTCATGATCACAAACGATGTTATTCAGTCTGGAGGTTCGTAGGGATTTTATTGATTTTAAGTTGGTATTCATCAGGGATCCGAAGTAGTTGTAAAATTAGTGAATACCTCGGAGTAGATAACATAACATCTTGGAAATAGGTTCATTAATGCATTAAAGGCAATTTCTCTCCTCTAAAAAGGAAGTTTCCGCATCAGTTATTCGCGATTCACCCATATTTTCCACAATAATATTTTAAATAATAGTCTTTACGACGAAATATCATACAAGTTTAACATACGAACACTGAAAACACCTTTAACTTTATTTCATGAAGGATGAAATTAAATTAAATAATTGTTAGGTTATTAAGTAGACCAAAACATCAAAAAGAGGAAACAGGTCAGTTTTCCAATTACTAAAGTAATTGAAATATACCCTAATCTTAACTTAAGTTGCCTGTAATTTAGTGTGTTGTCAACTCGAGTAGAAAAATTGTCCAACTCTTTTTGTGATTTATGCTTTGGTAACCTCAAAAATTACCTCTTTCTGGTTAACAGCAGATCGAGTGAAACTAATTTTGATCTTTATATACACATACGCTTGTTACAGACACACTAAACATTTAAAACGCTACTTGTATTTTACATAATAAAGTCATAAGATACAAATTATCATTAGGATTTACTTTCCGGTTACTTAATTTGAAGCATTTATTCAAACTACGTATTTTAATTCAGAAACTCACCCCATCTCTCTTGAGTTTTGAGAAGCATCTTGCCGATAAGCACTGACAAGAACGTAACGTTGGTTTGGAAGATTTTGGTACTTACTACTAAGGATTTAAGGTGACCCCAATATTTTGTCTCAATACTCATTTTAAGTTCAATGTAAAATGTTTACTTATGATAATTTGGTTGGTTATGGCTACCAGAAGAATCCAGGATGCGCAAAGGAGCCCATATGCCAATAGAGGTCAAACAATATGACCCAATAAAACAACGGAGAATAACAAGTACGTCAATAAATAGTAATAAAATGGTTATTGTTGAGTATATTCAGGTAATTGGGCAAATGTCAGGTTACAACAATTTGTATTTTTAATTATTATCTGCAAATTTACTTTTTTTCATTGATAGGAATTTAAGTTAATCAAGCGTCTACATAAGGGATTGGTTTCGATGAAAAAGGAAGGTGAATAACAGATTCCTTATTTGAGAACTATCATCTAAAATAAAATTATTAGTGAATAAGAACATTAGTCAGAGTCATGTTTAGTGTTTGTGTTAGTATGAAATGGCTCTTCTAAGCTAAATTCTGACCACCAAAGCTGCCCTAGCATTTTCAAATAGCTTGATATTTTTGGCGATTCACAAATCTGTACCTGATGTTTTATATATATGAACATATTTCTTTGAAGAGCATTTTTCTGTTAGACCTGAATAGCAAAATGAAGCCCTCCTCCTTTTTATGTGGGTGTATCTGTTACAATTATAACGTGCGAAGCCATGATACAAATGAAAGACACAAAAGCGGAGTGCATTTTTCATGTTTATGAGTTATATAGTAAGTGATCTCGCCTACTGATAAAAGTCTAATAGCGAAAACAGTTCTCATGCAAATAATTCTTAGATAGAAGATATCACTTTGAAAGTTCTGAAGTTCTAAAACAGTTTGCTTTGCACTGGTCACAAAGGAATCGTATCCATGAATTGTTACACAGCACGTACGAAGAGTTTTGTATGATGTTGGCTTAAACAAGTGTATGTTTTGGAACTAAGTTTTGAGTCACACTTAACTGTTGGACCTGGGTACTACCTGGTTATTCTAGGAGAAGTAGATGGAGAAGGAGCCACATATTGGCTTGTTCACCTGAAGGTAACTTAACAACCTTGTGTAAATCTGTGGTTATCAAAACGAAGGTGTGAAGATTTTCATAAGCATGCTTGAGACAATATGAAGTAAAAAAAATTGCTCCGGTTATTATTACTGTTGAATGTCACATGAGAATAATGGTATGACTACAGACCCTCGAGTGCAGATTCTTCAGTTTTGTGGTATAATCACTGGAAAACAACTTTGCTGATATAAACTATTATAGAGAGTGTCAATCAGTGGAGTGCAAAGCTGTCTTTTGTTCAAGATTTTACTTATATATTATACAATGATCAGAATTACCTAAGTATGAGTAAAATTATTCATACACATATGCTCAAAGTTGTAATGGGCTGTTTTCCTAGAATTTGCGATATCTGACTTGTTTGTATTCATTGACAATCACCACATTTAATAGAAAAAAGCTGGTCATTGTTTATAGAAGCGACTGTCAAGTATTTTGTAATTTTAGTTAGACACTTTTATTAAGAAGGTATGTTTTGAATTAAAAGCTTATCGACAGTACAAAACAGGGATTCAAACTTTTTAATTTTTATCTCTACACAGTGGTGTATACGGAGAACAGTAGTATATTTTTACTGATAAGTTAACGGCAGCAGATTTACCATTTGAACAGAGAAAAGTCATAGACCGAAAAGCGTAAAATCAAGACACATTTATTTTGCTTACCACTTTTTCTAACACAAATGTGAATTTCCTTTATCTTTTATTTCCTTCCTTAAGTTTGCGTTATTTTGTATAAACACCTAAACAATATTCATCTATGGATGAAAGTTTATTTCCGTTGACTATCTAGAAAACAAGTTTTCAAGTAACTTTGTCACTTGTTAAACAGTTTTGGTCTTGATAGACAAAAACATTGCTTATCAGCCATATCATTTAAATTAACTGAAGTGTTCGATTCAACCGCCTCAAAGATTTTGGCATTAAACTGAGTAAAAACAAGATTTTCAGAATTGTTCTCTTTACTGATAAGTAGACTTCAATTCTGTAAACTAACCTTGAGCTGCAGTGCTGAGAACCAGTCATTTTATTTTACTACTAGTAGCAAGGTGGAATCCTTTATAATTTTGCAGCATTCAGTGAATCATGTGTATATTTTAATTTTTCTTATTTTTTTTGAGACAAAAGTCACCATAAAAGAACCATCTACTCAACTCATGATTCTACGTCTGACTATTTTAGTTTAGACAGTCATCTGAGAGGAAAATTAACTATTTAGAATTAAAATTAAGCATCTTCATAAAATCTTAAAATGAATAGTAGAGCAACTTCAAAATTACCATGAGTAGTATGCTTACCGATGGTTGTGATGACAGTGATAGCATAAAGAACCGAACCAGCAAATGACCATTTTAAGTCTTCCATTGAATCATTACCATTCCAACCGTCTGTTTCAATGAAATCAACAATACGTTTAGTAAACTCCATTAATGCAATCTGTACACGTCCACGTAGTAGTATGATAAATTGTGATTTTAATGAGTTTTCACCTTTTATATTATCCATTTCTTGTTCAGTTAATGAATATGTTAAATTTTGGTAGTCAGATGTCATTAAAGTTTTCATATTACTTGAATTCCTCATAATTTTTAAATAAGTAGTATCCATTGTTGTATTAAATCCATTCAATACAGAGTTGTTATTATTCATAATATTAAAATGGTTGTTATCCTCTAAATCTGTACCATTTACTGTGAAATTCAGCGTTTCAATAAATTCATCAATGGGATGCGATGTTATTTTCTTGGTTGGTTTCTCCTTCTCCAAAAAGTCAATAAGGAACCCTAAAAATGTAATAGTACTATTACATGCCTGTGGTTGTCTTGATAAATATGTATGTAATTCACCAAAAAGTAGTCGTAAAAATTCATTTGAAGCATCAATTCTATATTCGTAAGCTAAAGTTTTAGTCTCCTTCTCTTTACCACGCTCAATACCACCAAACAGAATGCCACCGATGATTGTATAGGCAATAACCAGACCAGACAACCCTATATGCGAAAAAAGCATAGCTATGAATCGCTTACATCCTGATTTTAACTCCTGTAGCTTACGTCTACGATGTTCTTCTTTACGTAAACGTATACGCTCTTCACGTGTAAGAACAGTGGTCGCCTTTGGACTAAATACTTGACCTGTTGCCAGATGAATTGGTGAAAATAAATGTTGTGGATTAAACTCTTGCTGAAAAATCATATTCAATTCTTCTGCAAAACTTATAAATTTTATTTCAGAGAGTAAGAATAAGTTGAATTTCAATAAAAATTAATCTATTGCGTCACAGCTGATTGTATTCATAGGTATTTCCGAAATCCGTACATTCAATTAACATGACTTCTTTTTGTGAAAGATATAACATAAATTTTACTCATAGCCACATCGACTATTTAGTATAAAATTGATATACTTTTAATACGATTTATGAAATATTTAAATGAAAATTATATAATTTAACAAGTGAGATAATCTCCACCAATCAGGGTTCACCCTGAATAATAATAACAATAATTCTGTTTCAGCCAATCAAAATAACCGAAAAAACACGTTAATACACACCTAAAACAAATTGAATTGTGTCAATCTTGGAATAAAATTAATAAATCAGTCTGCTCATCTGACAATATTAACACGAATAACTATTGATCAGTGAGGTAAATTAATTGTTTTTACCTTCAGAAGACTGTACCAATATATCTTTACAGAATTCAGGGAACATCAAAATCACTTTCCTCCTACGATGACGAGATCGTCGAAAAAGTGAACGTCAGCATAAAAGAACATTTCTGACAAGTAAGGATAAAGGTTTTCCTCATTTTATGAAACCGTTACTATTTAAAAACATTTCAAAGAATTCACTTACGATGTTCAACGTTGGTTACTGATTGACACTGCATTTATTGGAATGAACAAGCTCCTACGATAAATTTTATTGATTGGAGAATTGTTTATACGCGTCACTTTCAGGTCAAATAATAATGTAGGTAATGAAACCTTAGATTTTCAATCAACGAAAACACATTTTTTTTGTTTGGTAATTGTAACCACCCGTTGCTCTATGGGATTTAATTGGTCAGCCACTGTTGACAGATGGGCTACTATGCGGATGCCACAATACTGCCTGAATACTCATTATTTTGTAATCTTCTTAGTGGGTAGTAATGTAGTCCAAGATGCGCTTTTTTTCTTCATTTAGAATCTTCAGGTAGATGTACCCGGATACCAGTGAGTGATATTCTTCCTAATGAAGCTTAAACCCAGCACCTAATGATTAAAATGGTAAAGGAATAACCAGCAGGCAAGTGAGGTACGAGAACTATATCTTACGAAACAAGTATGAGTTGCTGTTAGATACTTGTAGTTTTCCCCTGCTATATTGGGTCGAATATTTTGACCTATGTATTACGATGGGCTTTAACAGCTAATCTGATACATTTTTTTCAAAATGTAACAAAAGCAGTTAAATTAGTTTGCAAGCCGATGTTAATTTAAATACATCTGCTCAAATTCACTTACAAGATGACAGTATATATCACAAAACATTTTCGATGTTTGTGAAAATGTATCTGATAATATATTAGATCTCCTAGTAAGGCGAGTCATTTGACCCAATAGGATTCAATTACTTTTCTCTTATTTCGTATTTTCTTAGATTTTTGGCTAATGGATTAAGTGTTTAGGTTTCAGGTGATAACTATACTCAATTTACCTCTCACATGTGGTAACCATATAAAGGTGTTAAGGTACTGAAAGATAGGGCATCTTCAATTCAGTTGGTTGTCAAAAGTGAATTTTGAGTTCATACTTCTTGGAGTTAATATTATACCCAATTCTTTTATATGAATACAGATTTCACCCTCAAAATAAGTAACAAAAATCAATTAATGTGGTAATAAGACTTTATTTTATACGTATTCGTCATTTCATAGTATAAGGTGTATTTTTACTTGTGTAATCTCAGCGTAGTATATTAGAACAAACAACAAAATAAACAAATATTTTGTGTTATTTTGTATTATCCCTCATGCTTTCGATGTTGCTAGGAAGATCATTCTCAAGAGTATGAATCTGACAATAATGTTTTCGGGTTATTATTCAAGTTTTGGTACAGAAGGTGGTGACCTCTGCGATCATCCAATTACATCGTAATATGGAGCAAAGATCAATGTAATACAGGTGAGTGAGTAAGCAAATCGGTCAGAGAGGCTTTATTCACTTCTACGAATATGAGTGGGAAAATTTCGCTGGTCCATAAGAAATAAAGTGGGATTGTGAGGTATCGACGGTGAGAAAAAATAAATTACTAGTTTGGAAGGATGAATATTTGAACGTCAGACAATATATAATAAGTAGTACTACTATTTTTATAGAATACCGTCATTCACTGGACCGAATTGATCGGTCTCTATTGGCATTTGGGCTCCTGTGCGGATGCTACGATATAACCTGTGCTCTAATCATAGTAATGATGGATAATGGCTAGCAGTGGAATCCAGAATGTAAACTTCGTCCTAATTCGGACTCGTGGTGGGAACAACATCACTCACTGGGAAGTAAATAAATCCAGCTGACGAATCCCAAATAGGACGAAATGCATATCCTGGATTTCACTGTTAGCCACTATCCATCATTACAATATATGGTAAATAAATAAGAATAATGATAAAAATAAAGGTACTTTTGATAACACGAAGTATGAATGATAACAAAATGGATTATGCAATACATGGAATGGTTCATAGAATGTATATAACTCAGAAACGAGCGTAAAATTGACGAAAATGGTAGATCAATAAAGTGTTATGTAGTAGGAATAGACAAGCTGTTAAAATGCAACCAATATTTTTTGACGTGATTGAGACGATTAAACGAAATGCCACCGGAAACTATTCAAGCAAGAGTGAATTCGGAATAAATCATGTGTAATGAAATTGTGTTCTACCTTCCCTTTTTATATTATTTACAACTACCGATACGAGTCACTAATGTTTTCCATATTTGCGGGATGTCTAACTCATCTTTTCCATTGATCGAAGAAGGGCATGAAACGATGTGCAGAGCTTTTACAATGGTCCGCTCTTGGTGAGAAAGAAAACCCTTTTGCAGAAATTTTGTCGTTTCAAATGATATTTTATGACCTGAATATAAGGCATTAGCCACGATGGCAGAGCTTCCTTTAAGTTTTTCCAGATCATAGGAATTTTTTGGCGGTTTCTTGCCACAGTCTACCTTATAAACACAGTTCTGTTGCTCCAAGTGAGGAATCGGATATTTTAATTTACACAGGGATGGGTGTAATGTGTTCATCACCTTAAAAATACTCTGATGTTGTAACTACTAAGGATACGTCTTATTTCCCGTGATGTAAATGTTCGATGAGGAAGTACTATAGTACTTATCCACTCTTTATGGCTTGGCTTTTCTGCATCTTTATTCGATAAACCTTTCTGTATCCTTTTCCGCATATTTGTTTTATTTTCAGACTTCCCATACATCATTTGATAAAATGTGACAGTGCAAAAGTGATGAAATTTGTAGAATAAAATTGTATCATTTTGTTTCACAAATACTCCTCATCTACTACAAATAGTTTAAAAGTACATTGGTAATTAGAAGATAATCTTAAGTTGCACAATAAAATCACTGATAATTCATATAACGTGTAAGAAAACTAATTTTGCGAGAGTATGAAGGATAATCAAGGAATAATAATAATTAGTTGATAAAGGGTTGTGTAAATGAAACAAAAATGAAACTGAAGTAACTGAAAATTACCAAGAGAGTGAGAGACTAATCACACTCTTCTTTAGTATCCCAAAGTCAGGTTGGAAACATTTTATTATAATCCCTTCCACCAAGTGCAGTAATTCAGATATTTTCTGTACGCTTATTATCTCAAAATCATTGGAAGTTTCGTCCATCTGTCGTGGGTCAACGGAGTATCTGGAAATTCCACTACGTGGAACTCTACTTCCTTTCAAGCACAGATTTTTACAGATATGCATGGCGAATCAAATGGACTCCATTCTCTCGGTCTCAATAATGCTGTAAGTGCATATGAATTCATAAATAAAGTTGAAGGTGACATGAGCAGGGTAGATAAACAATTTCTACTGGTTTAACGAGTTCTTGTGAGAAACTGTAGCCAATGAGAAGGGAATCGGTTGTTAACTGGAAACCCGCTAGAGAGTCATGCCGTATTGTGAATTCACAAAGGTAGGTTACTGTGTAACATTGGAATGCGACCCAGGGGTTGAGTGAGTAGTACATTCGCCATAAAGCTAGCAGGTCTTGGGTTCGATCCCTCGCTGTTTCGTGATTGGGTACTGCTGAGGGGTCCCATACTAGGACAAAACAGATGCATAGTGCTCCACCTTTTTCATAGGTTCTCCGGCTGATGTCAGTCTGTGATGAACACTAACTTAAAAATAAAATCCAATTAACCTCAGACTACACTAAAGCATTCATTTATTGATTTATTTTATAATTTATAGTCCACAGAAGAATGACTGCGAATGACAGTAACTGTTCTTATGTTGTCGCTTTCAGACATATTTCTAGCTCCAGCAAAAAAACTCAACTTTCACATTTGTTCACTTTAAATAAAAGCCATAACAGTCCAAAAATTATATTTAATAAACCAAAAGGTCTCTTCGAAACAATACAACTCTACTTTTATCTTTAAGCATCTCAGGTAGTGGTCTACTGGAGCTGTCTCAAACTTGACACTTTGGTTATCAGTGGCTTGTATCTGGTGCCTCGGCTTTTTTGTTAATCAAAGTAACAATTTTGACCATATTCTAGACAGTGTCTTTGATCCAGTATGGAATTTCCAGCGAAATAATATTCTAAAAATTTGATTAGTCTTACAATATTCTGAGATGAAATAACTATGACACCTAAGTAATGTTAATATTGACATTAGAATAATCCTTAATATCTAACGACCGCCTGTTGGTAGATTCATTTATTGTCTGTGCTGTAGATACGTCACTGAACAGAAACAAACGGAATGGCGCGAGCATTTGTAATAGCAGTGGTTTATTCACTCATCATGAAAATCTGCACTTCAAGCTTATCATGTTGCGAACAGTTATACGATGTATTACTGTGCGTTTAAGAGCTCATGACCATCTGCCATGGTGTTTTATCTTAGGTTTATTGTTAACATGGAAACAGACAGGTTGAAAATATTTCAA